CTCCCACAGACCCACCGCAAGGTAATTTGAGCAAAGAATGACTTCTACCGCATTCCTCTCGCCCACCACCTCTTTGGATGCCTGTTGGAATAAGCCCCGTGCAACTGCAGGCTTCCACACAACCAGCTGCAATCGGGAAAGAACAAACTGCTGCTGTGGATAAAAATCATCGTTTTCCTCACTCTGAGGAAGTTTTCTGGCGTATGAATTCACGCTCTGAAAAACGTTTCTTCTGAAGGACTTCAGGTTTCCGTGCACTGCTATTTCCTAGGCAGCTACGGTGACCCAAACCCGGGGTTCGTAACGGAGCGCAGCGAGCTGGCAGCCAGCCAGCCCCCCTCCATGGGCACCGACGCCGCTGCCCTCCTTCAGCGCCGGGCGGAAAGCAGAGCTCACCTCCCAGGTGGCCCTGGTCGCCAGGGGATGCTCACACTCAGCATCAATTAGCAGCTCCCGCTTCGGAGCTCGCTGACTCCTGAACACCTCCCAGTCAAACACAGCCTGATCGCTCCTCCTTAGAAAAAAACCCCAACGCCGCGGCCACAGCGCAGGCTCGGGGCTTTCCGACCAGGTTGGTCCGGGAGGCACGAGCATCCCTGGGAATTCGGAAGCTAACAGCACTGCCTGCGATGTCTCAGCCCCCTGAACACACACCCCGCTACCGGCCGCCCTAGAGGATCGGTGGGGTTTAGAAGATGGTCTAAGACGGCATTAAAGGGAGGCCACAGCGGAATCCACCAGCTTGCTGTTAATGCTGCTGCAAGACGGGCAGCGGAACCAGCAGCGTCCAACACAAGGCGTGAAGCCCGGTAACGTGCACGCGTGTCGCACCCCCAAGTCTCCACCGAAACTGTTGCCAAGACACCTGCGCGATCCGTCTGCGGAGAAAGTGTGAGAAATGCAAATTGGCATGAACAAATAATGCTGGAGATCCCGCGGTGCGGAGGTGTACGTGCTAAGCAAGACCAGAAGGCAGCAAAACGGTGCTTGAAACGGCAGGCTAACCGCGCCGCACCGCGCCGTGCCCAAAGATGAGGGCTTTGCTATTATTAAGAACCTTTATCTCCCAGGAAACAACAGCTGTCCAAAACCAGGATTTCAAGGAACGACTCTAGGGGTAATTCAAATTATGCGGTTTGCTCTGCTGTATCATATTGTACATCTTAATGAACAAAGCCACAAGGACAATTTCAACTGATAAAAAAGGGCTTGCCGGCGATAACGGCTGAACCACCGAAGGACGGTCGGAATATCAATGCAGTTGGAGGATATACGAAAAAGATCAAACTGTCACGCAGGAAATCTTCTCAAGCACCTACACTGCAGCCAAGCGCCGGTGACAGAGGAAGAGCTTTAAAGGTTGTGCTGTTTTGGAAACTTTACCACCGCTCAGCTTTTCCTTTTCCTGGAAAAAAAAAAAGCAGCAGGACAGCTTTGCGGAGATCTGCCCCCAAACCTCCCTGCCGGAACACCACCTCAGGGGCTCAGCACGCCTTTGTAGGTCAAGCGTCCAGCAGCGGCGACAGCGGATTTGGCCCTGCCAAGAAGAGGGGCCGATGAAGGGACCCTTCGTCCCCCCAGCACGGACGCGGCAGGGGTCGGGGAGGGACTGGGAGCAGGGGCTCCATCGCCCGCCCGCACGTCCATCGCCTGCCCGACCTCCCCCAGCTGCTGCGCCCACCGCTCCGGATGACGTCTGCTGAGCGGCGGCGACCATCGCTGCGAGAGGAACTCCTCCGGGCAGGGCTGCACCTCCGTGTCACGCTGGAACACGTCGAGAGTAGAAGCACTGTTCTGTCAGATGGTCTGAGCGGGGGAAAATGAATCCCGAACAAGTTCTCATCTCCAATAACTCAAAAGGAGCACTTCCAAGAACGTAATTTCCCAGGGCAGCCGCTGGAGGTGGCAGCACATCTACATCACGGACTTTGGGCATGGAACCTGTTTCCCTGCAGGTCTCTCTCTCCCTTGGGTGTTTTTTTAATTAAAAAAAGAGAATTGTTTCTCAGCGCTACTCTGTGGTTTCAGGGGACATGCACTAGGCCACTATTACACAAGGAGGAGAGGGGACAAGGCAAAATAAAGCAGATTTCCAGTCCCCCTCATCCTAAGGAACGGCTTTCGACCCGGCTGGCTGGCAGACGACTCGCAGCCCGCCCGCCAGCGCAGCGCAGAAACACCCCGTCTGCTACCAAAGCACTTATGTCGCACCAGAAGAGGAGCTCAACGGTGTGGTGATGATGGGAATTAAGGTATCGATTGTCTCTTGAGGCTTTAAAAAGTGTTTCAACACTACTATGCTATGTAATTCTAGAGATTATGTTAATTTGACCTAATTTTTTCCAGCTACAAAGTCTCTTAGCTATTGAAGAGCAGAAGTTCTGCGGCTTCATACCGCCTGGGTGCTGGCTGGAAAACCTCAAAGCAGGACACGTACACGTGCACGTCTCTGCAGAGAGAGGGGAGGCGAGGCCTCAGCTGCTCTTTGTGGGAAAAGCACGTGGAGCTTGTGGGCAGAAGACGGGAAGACACATGTCAAGAAAATTCAGCGTTAGCTCGGTGTCAGGGAAGAATATAAAAATTTTTCTTATCAGCATTAACTCGTCTTATTCCTACGTACTGTGAGCAGTAACTGCTGGAATCAGTGAACGACGTTACATTTTCAGTGCATTTCTAGCCTCGTCAGCAGTCCCAAGCCCATCCAGAACGGCACTGCGGAGGCAATGGAGACCCTCCTGGGTTTTGCCAACAGGATCTCGGCAAGATTTGAGTTTTAGATCCTCCATCACTGCAAGCAAAGGTGCGAGAGAGACGCAGGACGGCCACGCACTCCTGATCCCGAGGTCCTTCTGCCGGGCCGGTAAGAAAGCAACCCGCAGTTCTGCTTGTGCAGGCCATGAAGAGCTGCAGGTCAGCGCATCTTTGTGGGTGTCTAATCGCTTCTCACGGCGGTCGGACGTGCCCAGAGAGCAGCACCCTCACAACGGGCAGTGCTGACCCTCAGGGCAACGCTCTGCGCCGGTGGGGAGCTACCGAGGAGGAACGGCCGGGGAAGCGTCTCACCAGAAGGCCCTCCCGTCCTGGAAGGCCATCAGCCCTTCCTCCCCGCCTTCAAAGCAAGCCTGGAGGAGGACTGCAAGAGCGATCCCTTACAGCTGGAGCCCCCCCAGCCGTGGCTGCGGGGGTGCTGAGCACCTCCCGGGCATCATCCAGCGCTCCCGGTGACAGCCCTGTCCCGCTTGAAGAACCACCCACCTCCCCCTTCTGCTTTTCAATGGGAAAAAGCTAGAAAACTCCCGCAGAGGAGAGCCCAGAAGCCCAGAGGCTACCAAAAATTCCCTAACAAGTGGCACTGCTTGCGGCGGAAGAGCAAATAGCAAAACTGCTCTCTGTTATGAAGAGCCGCTGCTCCGGTGGCCGAGGCGGCGACAGGACAGCGCGCCCGTCGGAAGCCGCTCCCCGGGTGATCCCTAAAACGCCAGGCTGATAACAATCCAGTTCCCGGGAAAAGGACAGTCATTAACGTTCGCAGGCACTGACATCAGCCTAACGGGGTCGATCGAGCGTCAAAGACAAATTCTTCCTTTTAGCCTTCCAAAACGCACTGAAAGCATCAACAAATTACCGTAAACCCAAAGAACAGCGTATTGCGTCCATTTACACCGAGACATGCGGGATCGAGTTTCGCTGCCAACGGCTCTTAAGGAGACTTTTAATAAAGTTTGAAACCTACTCTGAAATGAAAGCGGGTTAAGAAATTAAAAACAGAAATAAAGTGAGCGAATCGCAAGACGGGAAAGCGCTGACGGCAGCGGGTCCCAAGCATCCGAAGGCGGGTGCCTGGAGTTGGGCGCTATCGATAACCACCTGGAAGGAGGAAGACAGAGAATGGCAAGGGCTGGACGACACGATGGTGGATGGCAGACGGCGCACAGGCAGCGCGTGTTAAGGCACGTCGGAAGAAAGACTTCAACGGCTCGTCCATGCCAGCGGAGTCTGAGCGGGTTGCAAAACCTGCAGAAGGAAAGAAGCCACAACACACCCCGAGCAGGACAGTTAGACTCAGCCCAGCAACATCAGAGAAGCAAATAAAATGTGAAGGCATTTACACGGGGGATGGTTTACAGCAACAATAAACACGTAAACATGGTGCTGTTAGCTATTCAACGGTCCATTCTCACCTTCCGTTTGTCACCTCTACCTCCAAAAAAAAAAAAAAAAAAAAAAAAAGGCAAGCAAAAGCAGCAGTTGAAATAGAAAAGATCAGCGAAATGACAATGCAAATGGTCACAAAGAAAGCAGAAAGGCCTTCGCCGTGAGTGCAGAGAGTCGGGCCTAGTGAGGAAGGGTGACGGATGCGTGTGACGGAGAGGTGTCTCCCGGTGGGCTGGTCGGTTTTACCCATCTCTTCTCGCAAGACCGGGAAAAACGCAAAACGCTAAAAGCCAGCTCCTCAAAAAGGGTCACGGGGACGGTGTCGGGGTCAATAAAAAATGAGTGGTGGGATTCACTCTTCTGGGAGAGCGAGGCGGAGGGCAGAGACAGACCGAACACCTAGGCGTGAGAAAAAGCATCTCGAGTCACAGGAGGTGAATTAAATCGCTACGAGACCAAACTTCCTGCTTTCAAGTATAAATTGCTCAGAAATTGATACTGATGGGGTCGAGGCTGAAACAACTGCCCGTAGTAACAGAGCTCTAAGGCTGTTTGTATCCTTCGTTTGGAAGCACCCAATATTAGCCACCAGTAACTGAATTAAGAGCTTTTTCTGCCACGGCAATTCCCGCGTCTCAGACACCGGCAGTAAGGACTATCCAACTCGTCAAACTGCTGGACCAGGACTCGCACAGTACGGTGGGTGTATTTGATTAGAAAAAAAAAAATAAATAAAAATTTGGAGTGATTCGTTTGTTGTGTTTCCCCAGGCTTCACGCTCTGCTTATATACATAAAAGACAATAAACATTCAGGACATTTCCAATGGTTATGAAGGTACCGTACCTGTGATGGTGGTAGGGATGGTGGTGGTAGTGGTGGTGGTTGTTGTGGGAGGAGGGATAGTTGTGGGGGGATCTGGATAAAATATAAAAAGGAAAAATAATAAAAAAGCAAATTAAGAAAAAACAAGCAGAACACAACAGCGGTCAATCGTGATCAGAGAAAAACAAGGACGCTAAGAAGCAGCACGGCTGTCGGGTGCCCTCCCTCCTCCAAAACCAGGCGGTGGCTGCCCAGCTGGCCGCAGGGACGGCGGGCCAGAGCCTCCGCAGCTCGACCCCCTCCGGGATCCAGCTGGAGAATCTGGCCCCGACCCCCCCCCGGGCCTTCTACGGTGCTAAAAGAAATCAAAAAACCAAATAAAACCCAGCATAAATTAGTCAATGAGAGAGAGAGAAATGGAATGGGAGAGGCATAAGAAAAATAAACTGCACGCTTTCCACAACAAAAAGAACAGTTGACATGTACAAAGAGAGACACAGCGGTGCTTCCTTGGTTTCCTACGTATACATGTGCAAATCCGGTGGGAGGTTTGTGCGGGGCCCCGCTGCGCTTAACAGGCTAAATATCAACAGCACCTGATATATCCCCTCTCTTCCCAGGGCCCTTAACTTCACTGTTCTTCCTCTACAAACACACGTCAGCGGGGCGTTAGAAACTACTTCAGAGACAGTAATAAATACAAAGAAATGAGAACGTCATTACTAAATATCAATTTCAAGGTATGAAGAATTTCACCGAGAACTTTTAATAAAAAAATGTTAATATTTTTCTGGCAATTTCAGTTGAACGCTCCTGGTTTTGCTACCAGGGCATCGTTAATGAGAAACACGGATACGGGGATGTTTCTCCTCGTGACCCATAACCATTTCTCAGACGTACTTGACCTGTTGAGACTCACACACTGCCGCTCTTCACGGTATTTCTGCTACGTACAGGGGCACATCCTCGTCAAAATTATTGGGCAGGAGAAGGTAGATATGAGAAGACGTAAAAGAAAAAACTACGTATCAATGCCCAGATGATCAAACTGAATGCGCTAAGTAGTCGGGGAGACTTTGAACTACAGATTCATTCGGCAATAATAGAGCATGAAACATTTCACGGGCTTTTGATTTTAGGTCTCCTCTATAGCATGTCAACTTTTCATCGCTAACACATCTGCTACTCTTTTATCTCCAAGCGAGCTCTCAGACTCCCTAATTAAATACAGCTGAACTTTAATTATATGCTGCACCTTTATTATATCCCATACAACTTCCCGAAAGTTAAGAAACATTACCTCGGAGTCTGCTTCGCTGTGGAGCGCTTATTGACGGTACTATTCTAAGCGGTTATTGTCCTTCCCCTAGACCCGAAGCATCCCCGTCCCTACACCTACCGCAGGGCACTCCTCGCTCGCTCTAATACATCATCTCCCCAGGACCAGCGGGGACCCCAACAGCTGAAGCACAGCAGATCCCGGGCAGGGCAGTCCCCGGCCTTTCAGCAGACCGCACGGGGACGATGCTGTGCAGCAGACTCTTCCTCCATAAAAGCAAAAAAGAAAAAAAAAAAAGACCGTGCGCGAATTGCGCTGGAAGTAGCAAATGTGTCTGCCCACTCCCGGGGGGGGTGGGGGGGTGGGGTGAAAAAAATTTTAAAAATAAAGGTGTTTTCGCCGTGTGTCGATGTGCCTAGACGTCCCCGTAGCACGTGCGCAGCAGGGGAAGGGCTGTTCAGCGCAGCTCGGCACGGTTTTGCGGGCCGGGCCTCCCGGAGGCCATTGGCACGTAACCCCACTGAGCTGCAGACGCATCCCTCCGGGACGGAGACTACGGCAACCCTGCCTCTCCCGGGGGGGGGCCGGACCACGGCTCCGCCGTGCCGATGGCTACTCCCCAATGACACCCCGGCTGCGGAGGGACCGTGTCCGTAACGCCCCCGTTCCCGCCAGCGTGATGCGGGGGAGCTGCGCAGCGAGAGGCGGTGAGAGCCAGCCCCGTCTGCGGCCGGGCACGGCCTCCCGCCAGCTCCCACCCTGCGCCTACAGAGACGGACACAGACTCCGGAGCCCACGGAGCATCCGCTGCCTCGCCGTGGGGAAAGGTGCCAAGGGCTGGAGATGAAGAGGCTTTCCATGGCTTCACGCGAGCAGCACCGGCGCCCTGCCGGCACAGCCCGGGTTGGTCTGTACCAGGAGGCTTCAGACGATGGCCACAGCCCAACCGCTTCCTCCGCACCAACAGCTCTGGACTTCTCCCTTTTAGGCTCAGGGTTAAAAGGGTTCTTTAGGGCATCCAGAGCGCCAGATCCTAGCGGGACGCTCCCAAACATGCGGAAACTGGACATGATGAGCTGTAAAACCATTATCTGGCCGCGAGCTCCTGACTGACCACAAACCCCCTCCCCTGCGCGCCCCAAACACCTGCCAGACGCCTGGAGTCCATGGGTGTACTTCCCCTGGCAACCTGCGCCTCCTTGAAAGTACGACTGTCTCGGGTCTCCCGCTGGGGGTCGCATCCTGAGGGGGAGCGGCACCGGGGAAGACCTACGCGCTCCAGTTCTTACCTGCAGCCGAAATGCAGGATAATTAACAAGCGCGAGAGTTAGTGTGAGCTCTAAATCCCGGGTCGCTATCATGGGCGAGAGCTGCTCTAGCACTCGCTCGAGCCAAAACAGGTACGTAGAACTACACCAGGAATGAACTTGGCTCATCTACAACTGCTTTACGGCAGTAGCTCTCCACAGTTTTCATCTCATGGGGAACTGCCTGCGTCCTGTTTCGACTTCTTTCTTGCTTCCCCACAACACTAGTTCTTTCTTTAAACACCGATGTAAACAAAGGGTTTTTTCATGAGTATACAAATGACTCCATCGTAAATGCGCTTCTGGCTTCGTTTTGGAAACTGGAGGCTTTGGGAGCTGGAGGCACTAGAGAACTACCCGCACGACGTGGTAGATGAGTTCGCTTTCAGCTCAAAGCTATAGTTTTGGGATTATCTTCACTCTTGGGGCAAGTTTCTAAGACTGGGCTTAAAACGGCTCACGTCCAAGCGGCACTTGGATAAGCGACGTCACCTATTTATCTGGATCAAAGCGAGTACAAGAGAATTTGGGCTGCAGAGCTTCCAGCGGCTGCTGCGTGGAACGAGCTTCAGACCAAAGCCAGTGACGGTCCCACCCGAGGCACAGGCAACAGCGGCCACGAGCTCAGCCCAGCCGCACAGTACCCACTCCCAACACATCGGGTTTAGATACACAGCCCAAGGGAGTTGCTCATCATTAACCTGGGGGATCACTCTTCGAGCGCCTGCTGAATCTTCCTTATATGCAATGCCTCCTGACAGGAGCGTGGGGCTTAAAGCAATGGGAAAATAATGCAGAGGAACGGGAGAGCTAAAGGAGGTACTTAATGGCACTTTAAAAAGACGCTGAGGTGTGTTTTAGGGCCTGCTCAGCCGCCACAGGTTGGCTTAAGATGTCTCATTCCTCCAGTTTATTTACCGGTTTGTAATTATCTGGGGATGCTGGCTGCTCTTTGGTAATTTGGCTTGCTAATGAAAGACCTGGAACGCCCCTCTCCCGCCCCCCGCCGTCCCCGGGACAATTGCTGGAGACACTGGAGAAGGAATTACCGAAAGGAAAAGGCATTCCCAGGCCAGAGACCTTTCCCAGTCCTCCCCCTGCCCCTGCTCGGGCTTCTCCCGGGCTTCTCCCGGCAGCAGGGAGCGCGGGCAGGCTCGCCAGCGCGGCTGCGGAGGAGGGAGCGCAGCGGGCACCCAAGGGGCTCTGCGCCCGGCGCCCGACCCCGGGAGTCAGAGAGGCAGAAGAGAAGGGTTTCCAGCCCCTACCCCAGCCCGGTGCAACGCAGCCGTGTCGGGAGCTCCCTGTAAACCTTGCATTAAGCAAAACGTTAACTTCTGTCAAAGCTTTCAGAGCGCGGTATGTTGCAATCACGTGTAAATGAGTCTAGAAGAACGGTGGTTTTTCTCACGTACCGTATACAAACAGCATGTAATCCGCATGTGATTTCCCCACCGCGTTTGAAGCCTCACAGCGGTATGTACCATTATCTGTTTTGTTTAGGTTACTAATGAGAAGGTTTGAACCAGACACTACAACGTGTTGAGGCATCTCATCATCTACTCTTAACCACCTCATGTCCGTAGGCCTACAGAGGAGGGAGAAAAAGAAACAATCACATTACTATTTTCCTATGGTAAAGATGGCATCTTCAATAGTTCATCCACAGACAGAAAGCCCAAACCAAGAAAAAACTGTAAAGAAATAACACATACTTTTTTGCACTACTCAAGCCCAGATGCTGTCGGGCTTCCTCAATTTAAATTTATTTTAACCCAACAGGAAACTGTATCCAGACCTTAAATTTTCGGAAAACACTAATGCAAGCAGGAAGAAAGTTCATTAGTGGTTAATCATTCGCTTATTCAGAAAACCTGACCTCTTTGAGGCTAGGGACTGCGTGTGCGCCCACAGGGTGCTCTGAGTGCGGATCTGGACAGCATGTGGCAGAACAGGTACGTTTTGGTC